TGGATATTATTATTGTTATTATTATTATTATTACTATTATTATTATTATTGTCATTTAGAACATTTCGATGTCAAAGGTTATATACATCTACCTGACACAACTTTCACAATTCTGTTTCAGTAAACCAAGTCCTCTTTTTGAAGGATCGGCTTTTCTTTTTCCAGATGTACAGCTGTCTTTGCCATGTATCTGCTTTTTTCATGTACTTTTGTTATGAATAAATTTGTTTTTGCAAAAATGAAAATAGTTTTCTTTTTTAATATGGATTTGTTGTATGTTGTTGTTCTTTGCCTCATTCTTCTCATCAGTACCCAAACATCTGTAGCCCCCGGGGCGGTGCCACTGACTGAAGTGTCTTTAGACCATTCCAAAAGGGGGGACATTTCTCTTTCATGCACAGTAGAATTGTAAATGGGCTGATCACGCTCATAACTGTCTCTGATCTACAACAGGGAACTGCTGCTTTTTCTTTCCTAATCCTTACTATTGTCATTTTCCCACTACTTCTTGTGTATGTTTGTCACACTCTTGTGACCCACTATTTCCGGGGTGCCTTGATAGTCGAAGCAGACTTTGTGCTGTTGAAACTAGAGAGGTAAGCAGAGTAAGTTTGATTCCTTGTAAGGATTTCTCTATTGACATCCACCCCTTGGCGCTCATATGACCTCATGCAGTTGCGAGTGCCGTAAAACATCTACTAAAACAAACAAAAAACATTTGTAACAATTGTTTGCTATGGCTGTTCCTGTTTCGATGCAGCTGCTCTTCCGTATTGTTTTTGTTGTTGTTGTTGTTGTTAGCTGTTTTTGTCGTTGGCAGAGTTTGTTCACACTGGCGTTGACATTGGTGATGGTGGTGAACTGTTTTTGCGGGAGGTGGGAGGGCGCCAGTGGTAGGTCCTACTTGTCTGTCTGTCTGTCTGTCTGCCTGTCTGTCTTTTTCACAGCACTAAATGATGATTATTGTGTCGATGTGCTTCTCTTTACTCAAAGTCATTGAAAGAAAAGGACACTGGAAGACCACGAAATAGAGGAACCAGATGAAAGTCTAGCTGTTGACTTAAGCAGGAAGCGGGACGATGGAAGAAATACAACAAAAAAAGGGAACATACAAAAAAGCCTTGGGCACCAACACAATACAACTATTTAGCCTCGTGGTACTTTTTATTTTCATTGTCCACATCTCCTTGACAAAACAATTGGCGTGTGTGGTGGGCGGGTGCTCCTTTTTTCTTATCAAACATCTATCGTCCTTATTTATCTCCTTCCTTCTTGTAACACCGTTAATCGTCTGCACTTACTTTAACAAAACCAAAACCCTACTGGCCAAACTGGTCTGTCGTGGTGTGGTACAGGGCTTAACGGTTAGAAAGGTTTCTATGGTTAACTATTTAAAGACGTAGCGGGCACATTATGTTATGTCCGATCAGCAACAAACTAAAGGCATTGTTGCGACACATTTCAAACAACGATGCACAAATCCAAAACACAATATCACTTATTTTTGTTGTATGGGACACGTTGTTGCATTCCGTTTTAATTTTTTTGTCAAAGAGAACGAAATGTTAAAATCTGTATGAATAAGGAAAATATGCTTTAAAAACAGTGCCCACCAACTGCACGTCTTCACCAAGGGTCGCCGAATGACCAGAATGCGCTCATTGAGTTATAGGTGAGGCATCGTGGTGAAATTAGGCGCTCTTCAAAATGATGAAACCGAAGAATATCTTCTGTTCTGAGATATGTAAACTCTCCAAATAACACACGCACATTAACGTCCCACTGAGCATTTGAACCAGGTCTACCAGTCGGTCTCCACAACCCATTCAGATACCAACTGAGCTAACGGGGTGCCACGCAGTCAAAGTGACATCTTTATCTGACCGAAGTCGCGAAAAATGACCCTCCCCGAACTTTTCTATGAATGTGGTTGTGGTCGATGGTTTGATATCGATGAGTCCTTTTGTCTTCGTGGAGGCATGTGGTAGGCACTCTCTTGATGTGCTTTTCCCCTACTTCCCTTCGAAGTGATGTTGGGTGAGGAACTGCATGCTTGATACTCAGACAAAGGTTACACGTTGTTTCATTTAAATTTAGACTTAGTAAATTGCCAAAGCTTATGTACCAGTCCCTGGACACGTGCACCGTGAGCTCACCAGGCAATGTGAGTACTTCGCGCATTTCTTCACTGGCATCTTCCCGTAGCCTCACTCATGGGAGATTGCAAAGTTTTTGTGTAAATTCCCTTCTGATAATTTTGTCAAAGAATTAAATGAAGAAAAACAAAGGCTCACCCCTGGAATCAAAATTAAGAAGCTGATTTTCTTCCAGCTAGATTCTATCTAGCATTCAGCCACAAACAAATGGGGTAGTTTCATTTTCAGCTCTCAATTCTCCTAACGATAACACCTGCAGACAATGGCTTACGTGGGAACCGAAATGATGTCAGAGATAAAACATCTACCCCGTAGAATAGATCGCACATGTTTTAAGCGCACGTCAACGGTGGAGTTAAGATAATTTAGGTGGTGGGCTGCTTCAAGTCCATTCGCCAAAGCCATCCACAATATTCAAGCAGAAAGGCTGAGATACTCAGTGAAATAGATATAGACTTACCATACAAGAAATTGAATTGACATCTTTGGATATAACAACAATGATACCATGGACCCTTGTTTCGTGGATGGTTGCTGGGAGCTCTATTATGGTTTGTTCCTTCTTTCCTATGAAGCGTCTATCGTCCTTATCTCTCTTGTTTTTCCTTGCAT